GAGCGTAGGAAAGGAAATTTGGGGCAAAAATGGAGAGGTAAGGCATTTGTGGGATGTGGATATGGTTTATTATTTGTTGATGAGGATGTGAGTACATGTTCTCAACTGGGCTGGAGGTGTGTGTTGTGCTGGGTAAAGTCTCTTTAAAATCTAAATGATGTATAACATATAACAGTGAAATGCATAAATAATAATTAAAATTAATAAAAATTATTTTAAAAATTAATTTTTAAAATATGCCAGAGGGCATGTGTACTTGCCGAGGTGGGGGGTAGGGAGAGAAAGTGAGAAAGCACCACCATGGGGGATGGCTATGCCACTTTCCTTTCTACTCTCTTTCTTACTTTCAGGATTTGAGGCATGCATGCTCATGTGCCTGGCATGTTTCTCAAACTGCCAGGTAAGGGATTTGAACTGTGCTGTCAGCCACGTGGAATCCAGAAGCCTTAACCATCATGCCACTAGCTAGCCCCTAAGTCATTCTAATTCTTACTTTACAGATAAAGAGATAAGGCTCAGAGTCAGTCAGTGGCATGGTGGATAAAGCAGATGTATCCCACATGGTCAATGGCACAGTTCAAGTCCTGGACCCAGTGGCTTGAGAAACATACCCAGCATGTATGTATGCATGCCCCAAATCCCTAATGGAAGGAGAAAAGAAGAAAGGATTGTGAGTGACTATCCCCCACAAGGGAGTGCTTTCTTTTTCTCTCTCTCTCTCTGGCAAGCACATATGCCCTATGGCAAACTAAGAAAACAAAACAAAACAAAAACAAACAAAAAACAAGAGAGAGCGAGAGAGAGACTAAGGCTCAGAAAAATTCATTTCCTTGAAGTAATGTTATTAATAAAGGGGGAATGTAAGACCTGAATGTAGGCTCCCAACTACTCCTCTAGTGCTTCTAGTCAGCTGACACTGCTTCCACAAATGTCACAGATGACTCAAGATTCTTTTTCACAGCTGCCTAGAAATCTTGCTAAACTTTGAGAAATTGGGTCATGATAGCTAAAAGCTCCAGTAACATTGAGCAAGTCAAGTCCTACATCTGATCCCATAGAAAAGAGGCAGAAATAAGATTAGAAACCCAGACAAACTTTAAAAAGTGAACTATTTTGTTTCCTGTAGTTTCAAGGTCACACAATGAAATTATTACCACTGTTTTTTTTTTTTCAACCTTGAAATTTGATGGGTGAAAAAAAACCTGACAGTCTTATCTTCTTGAAACTGAAGTATTGGGTCATTGGAAGTCGTGACACATTTTTGCATAGAAAAACATGACTTTTCTAATGACCCAATATTATGCTATCACAGTGTCTCTTAATGAGAATGCTAACCTGGGATAGAGTAACAGTAACATATTTTATCACAGCTGTCTCGAATATTCCTCCAGGGAAAACTCATTTTGTGGGATACCATGTGGTACTTGAGAAAAGGAATTATTCTGTAATCAAGAAAGTTTGGAAAATGCTGGGTTAAAGAAATCTCCAGTGGTTTCCTTAATATAGGACTTCTCAAAGTTATTATTTTTTTCTTCTCAAAACTTTAATAGGAAAAGGCACAATGAAACTTTAATAGGGAAATGTATGAAACGTATTTCATTTGCCCAATGTATTTTAGAACAGAACTCCTTCTTTCTGCAACTCATAGGACTAATGTTCAAGAAATACACTTTGGGAAACATAATCTAACCCAATACTGTATCTCTGAAAATTCTGCTTTGAGACTTTCTAGGTAAGGACACAAAATTGTTCTTTTTTTCCCCTTTTATTTATTTATTTATTTATTTATTTATTTGCTTTTGAGAGGTTTGCTATAGGGCGCGTGCACTCGCCAGACAGACAGAAAGCGAGAAATCATCCCCCAGAGAGGATGGCCACGCCGCAATCCCTTCTCCTTCATTCTCCTCTCAGGATCTTAGGCACACATGCACACGTGCCCAGCGTGAGTTTTAAGCCACCGGGTCCAGGATGCGAACCGCGGTCGACTACGTGGGAGTCCAGTGACATAGCCATATAGCCATTACACTAACTGCTGGTTCCCTCTTTTTTTTTTTTTGTTTGAGAGGTTTTTGCTATAGGGTGCGAACATTCAGCAGAAGACAGAGAGAGACAGAGAGACAGAAAGCAAAAAATCGCCCCCCAAGGGGCATGGCCACGCCGCAATCCCTTCTCCTCCATTCTCCTCTCAGGATCTTGGGCACGCGCGCACGCGTGCCAAGATTGAGTTTTAAGCCACCAGGTCTGAGACTCAAACTGCAGTTGACTACGTGGGAGTCCAGCAACATAGCCATTACGCCAACTGCTGGTTCCCAAACTTGTTCTCTTTAGTACCAATTGCTCACCTTAACATTAATTACAAAAGAGTAGAAGTTATGCTGTAATTTAAAATACACATGGTGAGTGAAGTTCATAAGTCTAAATATAATTACTGAGTATAGTGGCACTAATAAAAAAATGTAACCCTTTTAAAAATAATTATTAATTTAATTTAATTTATTATTATTTTTTTAAAATTTGCTATAGGGCACGCAGACTCACCAGAGAGAGACAGAGACAGAGAGAGAGAGAGAGAGAGAAAAGAAAAGTGAGAAAGTAGGTAGCCACGTCTGGGACTTGAACCATGGTTGGCCTTGGCCTCCCATGGTGGGAATCCAGTGCCTTAACCACCAGCTTCCTACTGGTCCCAATATATTTTACTATTAAACAAAAGGTGAGAGAAACATAATGGTAATAATGGTGAGAGACAAGCAGTAATACACAGGTTCACTAAACATTTCAAAGGTGTTGTCCCCAGTGCTTACTGTTCAGCCTGGAGGTGGGTCTGGCAGTGGTGGACTGAAGTGAAGCTGGCAGGATCTCTGACTTGATGGTTACGTTGGTGACAGCTCCATCCATCCGGTCTGTCTCACATAAGCCTGGCAATTGTGCTGCCTTCTCCAGCGTAGGCAGCAACTGATCAAACTGGTCAAGGTCAGCTGTAAACTGAAAACGAAAACCAAAGTTAGAGAAAATATAACTGCTTTTACCTGAAACAAGGCAGGAGAAAAGCTGGTGGGTTTTTTTGTTTTGCTTTGTTTTGTTTTTTGAGATTTTTGCTATAAGGTGCATGTGCTCACCAGAGATACAAAGACAGAGAGAAACAAAGCAAAAAATCACTCTCCAGAGTGGATGGCCACGCCACAATCCCTCCTCCTCCATTCTCCTCTTGGGATTTTGGGCATGCACACACACATGCCTGGCATGAATTTTAAGCTGCTGGGTTTGAGACCTGAACCACAGTCAACCACGTGGGAGTCCAGCGATATAACCATTACACCATCTGCTAGTCCCAAAAGTTGTTTTTTTAATCTATGAATTAAGTGAAAATAAGAGAATGAAGAAAGAAGAAAGAATTAGAATGATGAGACTTCTTTGAAATTACATGATCTAATTGTCCACTGGAAAAAGTGTTAAATATAATAATAATGTACTACAGGATATAAGATAATATTTATCTAATATACATCACAATAAAACTTATGCACAGGAAAAATTTGGACTGGAAGAAGTGTTCAAGAGTACTGTGTTACGATGGCGGCATAATGAGTGATTTCTGTCGTATTTTTCTAAATTTTCTAAAATGTCTTACTTTAAATTTACACTGACTTGAATTCTTTCATAATTTAAATTAGCTTAAGAATTAGCTTTTTTAGTGTATCAGCTTCAAAAACCTCAGAAAAATAAGTTTCTCATTTAAGAAATCAGTAATTTAAAAAATATATCTTCAGAAATAGATAAAGAGTTCTCACATTTGTCTGAAGTTGTGATAGAGGAAAGCTGGCCTTATTTGACAATATCATTATGATGACCTTTAGATAATCAACATAAAATGCCTATCTTTTTTCGACCTCATAATTTAAGCCAATTAAAATCTGTATTCATTGTCTAAATATGAGGTCTTCAAAAAGTTTACAGAAAAATGACACAAGGATTTCAAAAATTCTTGGCACAAAATAAACTCAAACAATTTTTCCATGAAATTTTTGAAGTCCTCTCAAATAATTTTATGTGTGTATTTTTTAAATGTCTGGCTTTTTCCTTCAAAATTACATTTCTGAGATTCAAACTTATTGTCACATGTAGTGATGGTTCATTCATTTTTATTATTAAATAGTATCCCACTGTAAGAATATGTCACAATGTAGCTAGTCATTCTACTGTGATGGATCTTTTGGGTTGTTTCCAGTTTTCAATCAACAGAGATAAAGTTGCTATGAATATTTTAAACATGCCTTTTGTTATGTATGTACAAAATGCATTAAACATAAAGGAAATTATTGATAAACTGAACTCTATTAAAATGAAAAACTTCACTTCATCAAAAAGCACCGCCAAGAGAAAGAAAAAGCAAGTCACAGCATAGAGAAAATACTGCAAATACATAACCAAAAGGACTCACATCCAAAATACAGAGAGTTCTTATAAGTCAGTAAGCAAAAATAACATATTCCACAAAATGGGCAAGAGATTAGACTGGGTAATTTAAAAAAGAAAATATCCAAATGACCGATGAACTTTTATCAGGAAAATGCAAATTAATACTACATACACCCTAGAATGGCTAAAGTTCAAGAGACTGACAATACCAAGTAACAGTAACAATATGGACCAACTAGAAAGGACTTCTTACATGCTCAAAAAGCTGGAATGGTCGACTACAGATGAACTCACCTGATGATCCTGCAGTTCCACTCCTAGGATAAACTCAGCAGAATGCATGCAAATGTGCACCAAAACAGATATACCAGGAATGCACATAATGGCTTTATTTTACAAAGCTGTTATTTTTTAAAGTTAATTTTAGAGGGTGAGAGTTATAATATGCTTATTATTTAAAGCACTTTTTCTTGGTACAATCATTAGTCTTGTTGTACCGAGAAATCTGACAGTTTGTTCCCAAAGAGCACACATGTGAAGAAATGGTCACAATAGTATTGCTATAAATAGTAAACAGAGACCATGCAAACACTGAGAGTAGAGAGGGCTACCTGGAAAGATTTTATGGAGATGCTTTGAACTGGTTTGTGAAGGATGGGTAGCAGGTCAGCAGGCACAGAAAGAGCAGGGCAGAAGATGCTTAGAGGAGACATGCTTATCCCAGGAATGGCAAAGACTTTCAGGTGCCTAGAATGCAGTCTGTCTGAGGAGAGAGGGACTTTTGTGTAACATGATGGCAGAAAATAAAGCCAATTCAAGAACCTGAAGGAGCTATGCCTGCGAAGCATGAACCCTGTCTCACAATGGTCAGCCTTCTTGGTGAACTGAAGGAGCTGTGCCTGCGAAGCATGAACCCTGTCTCACAGTGGTCAGTCTTCTTGGTGAACTGAAGGAGCTATGCCTGCGAAGCATGAACCCTGTCTCACAATGGTCAGTCTTCTTGGTGAACTGAAGGAGCTGTGCCTGCGAAGCATGACCCCTGTCTCACAGTGGTCAGTCTTCTTGGTGAACTGCTTTGTAAATGCACTGTCGGCTCTGTCCGTTACTTCTAAATACTGTGCAAGTTCCCAGAGAGGAGGAATCTCACTTTTTGTTTTTATTATATTCCTTCAGAGTCCACAAGCAATTATTTAGCAAGTGAGACTGCTTGTTATTATTTATTTATTTATTTATTTATGTTTTGGCCATAGGGCACTTGCTGGAGAGAGCTCAAGAAAGAAAAGTGAGAAATCATCCCCCACGGGCATAGTCACACTGCAATCCTTTCTCCTCCATTTCTCCTTCTGTCAGGATTTTGGGCATGCAGACATGCACCCTGAGTGTTTTTCAAGCCACTGACTGGGTCAAGACTCAAACCATGTAGTTGGCCATGTGGCATCCAGCTGTCTTAACCACCAGGCCACTGGCTGGCCCTGCCTCCTAATTTTCACACCACCTCTGTTCCATTCTGACACAGAGGTTCCTAATCCATAACAAGTTATAGAAAGGCTTGGTTTTATTTACTTGTGTCTAAGGATATGTTATATAAAGTAGTATTCTCTTATCCAGAATGTTTAAGTCCCTACACTCTGATGGAAGTTGGCAGTGGTCAGAATGAGATGAGAAGGAAAACAGTCTTAGAAAATGTTTCTGAGGAAATAAGCGTGTCAGTAGGTGGTCTTGTCTACCTCTGGACATTTCTTTCCCATTTCCTTGATGACAGAGGTTCCCAAACTTAGCTCCCCTTGACAGGTCATTTAGGGTGCTTATTCGAAACACATATAAGAGTTGGATTCACCAGCTAAGGCTGGAGGAGGGGGCAGGGAGGATACTTTTCAAGGTCTCCAAAAACATGAACTCTTGATTTTATAGAAAGAAAGAACAATAAACTTTTTTTTAGAATGCCATACTAAGACTGTAGCCCTGTAAAGTTCCAACAAGGACTTTTGAGGGTATCCTCTGATTTTTCCATGTTGTTACTATCCTTTTTTTTTTAAGATTTAATTTTATATCTTACTATTAAAAAAATATTTCATGAGAGAGAGAAAGAGAGAAAGTGAGAAAGCAAGCTGCCAAGTCCAGGACTTGAACTGCAGTCAGCTATGTGGGAGTCCAGCACCTTACTACCACGCCATCTGCCAGCCCCTACTGACCTTTTAATACATTCCCCATAAATGGGACCAAACATAGTGCAAATCCAAATCTGGTCCACGATTGGAGAAGAACAAATTAAAATGAAAAAATAGCTAGGAGTGAACATTCTGCAAAGCAAGGAATTACCCACCTGGCTCTGGGACTCCAGTTTAATTTCCTCAGGAGCAGATTTGGTCATTGGGGTGGGGTTTGTGTTACAAGGATCCATCTGTTCTTTTTTTTCTACTTTCACCTTTACATCATCCAGGCTCAGATTTGGAGTTGATCTTAAATCTTTCTCATCTTTATCTAAAAGGTAGCGTAGGAGTTGATGGTCTTTTGATTCTTTCTTCTTTGAAGCATCCAGCTCTAGTTTGATACTGGAGTTTCCCTGTCCTGGTCCAGCCACTGACACAGAAGTAGATGCACTGTCCTTTTTATCGGGCTCCACAGATAAAGTGGTGATATCTGACGGGCTACCCTCTTGTAAGAGCCGGTGCAAAATTTTGTGCCGCTCTGTCAATGAGCTATGGGAGGAGGGGCAAGACCCTCCTGAAGAGTTGGCCGAGGCCGAGCTGGAAGTCCCTGTGCAAGACAGTACATCTTTGCAACTTGTGTCTATATCAGCATGCCGTAACTGCTGTTCCGCAGTTGTGGTCAAAAGCTGCACTAGTTTGTGACTGGTTTGAGAGTATTTACTGTCTCCATCTGAGAGTCTGTCATTGTTATGCAGAAGCCCTGAATCCAGAGGTTTGCCATCACTAGAGCTGTTGTCAGACTGAATCATTTCATTTAAAATGGATGCAATCTCTTTGTTATCTTTGGACTCAGCTTTTGCTGGCTGTATATTTAATCTGCTAGGTGAATTTTGTGAGCTCACCTGCCTGAGGGCTGGAGAACTGGCAGAGAAGCCAACGGAGTTATTGGGCCCTTCATTCATACCCTGTAAAGATGTCACTGGGATGTTGGAGTAAGGTCGGTTACTATTACTACAGGAGCTACCTGTCATGCCAACAGGCGAGCTTAATGTCGGAATATTAGGAGGAAATGAATTGTTTGGCATCCTGGGCCTTGTTGCCAATCCAGAAGTAACCTGTCTCCTTGGAGACATGAACTGTGCTAGGGATATTCCTGTACCTTCCATAGGCGAATTATTGAGGTTTAATGGGGGATTACTGCTCTGGGAACCGGCCTGTCCCTGATTTAAGGCAACATTGGCTACAATCTGATTTCCAGGTGAGCATCCAAAACTCCCTTGGCTGTTGCTAGAATTGCTATGATTGCTGCCATGAAGGTCTGAGCTCTGTTGGCGGGTTACTCTGGTGGACACCATGTTGCTGTTGGATGGTGGCAATGTGGATGAACGGGCCACACCATGAGCTGGAGAGATACTAGGATTGACTGAGGGGTTTACTCGGGGAATTGACATTCCAGAATTAGTGTCATCTTGAGGAGAAAGCCCACTGTGTTCCCTAGGGGGAAAAAGACATCATTATTCAAACATCTTCATTGGTTTCCATTAAAATGGAACATTAACCTCACTAATATTATAAACTATGAAAAACTTCTCTATCACCTAAATCAAGGAAAAACAGTAGACTGTTAATAATACTGTAAAATATTAGCACCACTTAATAAAAAAACCGTGCTTACGGACCCTTACATTTGACATCTGTCAACTGTCTCAGTTAAAAGAAAAAGAAATCTTTCTCAGTCTTAGTACAAAATTCAGTATATATACTTAGAAGCATTTTAAAACTGAACACACTCAATTAACATTACAATAATACTTTGGGTTGCAAGAAAAACTTCCCACACGCTTGTTTATAAAATACTTATTCATGACTCCTTTGTTACAGCTTTTAAGTATTTCAACTCCAAAGAGGAAGACTGGGTAAGGAAAATACTATGTCACTGATGTAAAAATTAAAAGGGGTGATATGCAGGCATAGCAGATGTTTTGAAAGAGAAATCACAATATGAAAAAAAGAACTGTGTTAATTCCACTCACAAGCATAATTAAAAATTGGGAAAAACAAAAACAAAAACCCAGGGTACTGAATTCAGGTTTTCACTGGGTTCTTTACTCAAATTCATAATTATAACAGATTTGTGACTGGCATTACCATGTTCCAATAACCAAATACATCTGATGAGCAAAAGATGAAGTGAGGGGAAATGTCTTTGTTTTTAATGCTAAAATTTAAACAGCTGTAAATGTAGGATTTTGAGTAAGTAAAAATTTGTGAATTTACCATGTATACCACCATTAGACATATTTATAGAGGGGGACAAATTAGAAACAATGACATTTTAAAAAATATCGAGTTGATAGTCTAATGATTTAGAGTTGCTGTGAGAAACTGTCAACTTGAATTCAGGAGCCATCAAGTTTGCCCTAATGAAAACAAAGCACTCTTAAAAATACAAATAAACATAACAATGTAAACAAGCAGTCTAGGTTTTACCCCCTGAAATGCATATTTTCAGCCTCACCTTTCCTGTCTCCTTTTATGAACAACAAAGCTATTAGGCGACAACACTATAATCCCGATATGGACATATGGATTATATGCTTATCACTCTGGCTTTATGCCTAATATAGAATTTGCTTCCTAACCATTAAGAGTATAAAATTTTTCTCTAGGAAGAGATATCTAACTGGCTTATTTCATATGACGCTCTCCAAATAAGTAGTACCTGTCGATGATATGAATTCCCATGATGAAAGGTTGCATGTCTGGACTTTGAGGGTAGCAAAGTTTACACTTGGTGTGGGCGCTAAGCATTGTCCCATCATTCAATATGAATCTATAGGATGGGCTGGAGGCAGTGCCACGAGTCATCACTGTTTCAAACAAAAGAGAAACCTAGTTAAAATTCTGACACTTGTACGTTGGGCAAAGGAGAGTTACCAGGCCTTATTTCCACCTAGAACTTCATTTGAAATGCCCTCCCAACTGCTGCTGTTCAGACTCAACAGAATACTTCAGACAAAACAGATATCTAAGGGGGAAGATGATTTCAGTTGAAATATACCACTCAATGACAAACTTCAATTTAGTCCTATTTGAAGAATGGATGCCTCCTCACCTTAAGTTATGATTGTAAAGAAAACCCAAATCACAAAAATATTATCCTTAATCTCTCTACAATGGGGCAACATTTCAAATCAACTAAATCTCCACTAAAAACACTAGGAAGTACTTTTCTCCCCTCTCATTTTCTCTGTGTTTTTTTTTTCTTAAGAATTTTTTTTTTTTTTGGAGAGATTTTCACTGTAGGGCGCGTGTGCTCGCCAGACAGACAGAGAGAGACATAGAGACAGAAAGCGAGAAATCACCCCCCAGGGGGGATGGTCACGCCACAATCCCTTCTCCTCCATTTTCCTCTCGGGATCTTGGGCACACACGCACATGCGCCCGGCGTGAGTTTTAAGCCACCGGGTCTGGGACACGAACCGCGGTCGACTACGTGGGAGTCCAGTGACATAGCCATTACGCTAACTGCTGGTTCCCAAGAATTATTTTTTATTTAACTTTATTTATTTATCTATCCATTTTAATTTGACCAGAGAGAGACAGAGAGAAAGAGAAAGAGTGGGAAGTGAGAAAGCAAGCTGCCAGGTCCATGGTTGGCCAAGTGGGAGTCTGGCACCCTAAACCACCATGTCACCTGCCAGCCCCTGTGTTATCTTTAACAAGGCTTGTTTATTTATTTTTTTTTCTTTTGCTGGCTGATTTTTTAATAACAACTCTAATATGATATAATCCACATACAATAAAATCCTCTAAGTTTTGACTGATTTGTAGAGATCCTCAGCTAACAAATTTAATTTTTTTACTGGAATGTGAATCACTAAGGTCTCATTTGATAAATTATTATATTCATATGTGTATGAATTATTATTTTTTAAAAGAATTATTTTATTTGACTTTATTTTCATTTGACCAGAAAGGGACAGAGAGAAAGAGAGGGAGCAGGAGAAAGTAAAAAAGCAAGCCACCTTTGCTTGGCCTTGTGGAAGTCCAGTGCCCTTAAACCACCATGCCACCAGCCGACCCTAATATGGGTATTATTTTTAATGTTTGAATTTGGGAAGTTCAGTAAGCAAATGAAGATAAATCAGTGATTATTAATATAAGGAACAAAAACCAGGTTTAAGTAATCTTATTGTTTTATAAACAGCATAATTTTAAAAGAATTATTTGTTTAATTCCATTTATTATAATTATTTTTTAATTTGATCAGAGAGAGATAGAGAGAGAAAGAAAGGGAAAATGAGAAGGCAAGCTGCCAGGTTCAGGACTCAAACTGCAGTCAGCCATGTGGGAATTCAGTGCCTTTAACCACCATGCAACCTGCCGGTCGCTGTCCTTTTTCTTTTTTTTAAGATTTATTTATTTATTTTATTTGATATTATTATTTATGTTTTAATTTTACCAAAGACAGAGAGCGAGAGAAAGGGAGAGTGAGAAAGCAAACTGCCAGGTCTGGGACTCACGCCTTGGTCTGCTAGGTCTGCTGGGAGTCCAGCACTTTAACCATCATTCTACCTGCCAGCTCCTACTTTTGTCTTAAAGCTTTACTAACAGACAAAATTCTAACCATATAGGTGTTTATTAAACAGTAAAGTCTACAGCAGACTACTAAATTATAAAATATAATTGAATTTTAGTAACACAATAGAATTCTAACAAAGATTTAATAGATTCTGCAATATTAAGGTTAAAAATAATATCCATGAAACACAAGAATTACTACCACAAATGACTATTATAATTTAACCTATAATAAATGTTAGTCCTCGTTTTCAAAGACATTTCAGAAAGAGCTTCAATTACTTTTTAAAAGATATATGAGAAGACTTAAAATGACCAATTAACGAGTGATATCTGAAGCTATACATTACTTGAAGTAAAGAGAAGACATGCTCCATTTTAGTATCTGGGATAAACAGTATCAACTGAAGAAAATTTATACTATAACAAATCTGCCTATGTGGCAAACCATATAAACTTAACGGAAAGGATTAAGATGCATGCCCAACCAATCACATCTGGCAATTTCGGCTAAATCATCGGTATATTTGCCAGATATGATATGTGGGGAAATTTCGCGTGTCTAATGAAATAATAAGAAAAAATCCTTTAATAAACACTGATAATTTTGGGGGACGGATATAACTAAATGTCTGCTATAGCAAATCCTAAAAGCTTATCAACAATCTCAACTGTTAATAGCTGTTTTATTGTTTTGTTTTTAAAGGGAGATTTTTCCTATAGGGTGCATGTGCTCACCGGAAAGACAAGAGAAACAGAGCGACAGAAAGCGAGAAATCACCCCCCCCCGCAAAGCGAGAAGTCGCCCCCCCCCCCCTGAGAATGGCCACACCGCAAACCCTTCCCTTCCATTCTCCTCTTGAGATATGGGCAGACAGACACACAGACCCAGTGTAAGTTGTTTTTTTTTTTTTTGGAGAGGTTTTCACTATAGGGCGCGTGCACTCGCCAGAAATCACCCCCCAGAGGGGATGGTCACGCCGCAATCCCTTCTCCTCCATTCTCCTCTCAGGATCCTGGGCACGCACACACATGCGCCCAGTGTGAATTTTAAACCACCGGGTCCAGGACGTGAACTGCGGTCAACTACGTGGGAGTCCAGCGACATAGCCATTACACTAATTGCTGGTTCCCAGACCCAGTGTGAGTTTTAAGCTACTGGGTCTGGTACTTGAACAACAGTCGACTACGTGGGAGTCCAGCAGCATAACCATTATACCATCTGCTGGTCCCTGTTAATAGCTTTTTAACAACATACTTTGGAAAAAGAACCTCAACAAAAAAGTGTTGGTTATTTTGTTTGTTTGTTTATTTTTTTAGAGATTTTTGCTATTGGGCACATACACTTACCAGAGAGACAGACAGAAAGCAAGAAATCACCCCCCAGGGGAGATGGTCACACCACAACCCATTCTCTGGGAATTGTGGGCAGGTGTGCACATGTGCCCCATGTGAGTTTCAAGCCACTGGGTCTGGGAATCGAACCATGGCAGGCCATGTGGGAATCCAGCAACGTAACCATTATACCATTCGCTGGTCAGATCTACTTTAAAAGTGGCATCTTACAGTAATTAATCTGGAATAATAATACAGCTAGAAACTTGATGAGACTGAAAAAATGTCATGTCATTCTGCTTATACCGTTAGATCTATTTCCTCATCACTGACTGCTTTTCAGGACCTCCTCACTGCTGGAAAACTTCCGTTGGCTCTTCACAGATAGCTACGCTGTCCAATAAGAAGCCCATTAGCCCTCTGTGGTTATTTAAACTTAAAACTGAGGAAATTTAAAATTCAGTTCCTTGGGGCCAGCAGGTGGCATGGTGGTTAAGGCAGATGGACTCCCACATGGCTGACCCTGGTTGAGTCCCGGACCTGGCAGCTTGCCTTCTCACTTTCCTTCTCTCTCTTTTTCTGTCTTTCTCTGGTCAACTTCAAAAAAATAAAATAAAATAAAATAAAATAAAATAAAATAAAATAAAATAAAATAAAATAAAATAAAATATGACAATGAATAAAATTAAATAATTCTAAAAAAGAAATTCAGTTCCTCTGACTAGCCAGTTTTTATTTATGAAATTTATTTTAATTTTATCATCATCATTATTATTATTTAATTTGAGCAGAGTGAGAGAGAAAGGGAAAGTAAGAAAGCAAGCCACCAAGTCCGGAACTTGAACCTCAGTCGGCCATGTGGGAGTCTACAGCCTTAACTACAATGCCACCTGCTGGCTCCCTAGACTAGCCAGTTTTTAAATACTCAATAGCACTTTGTGACTGGTGGCTATCAGGTTGGATAACTTTCACACATTAATTTTTCTTCTTTAGCTAGAATAAACATAAGAGGGAACCAGCAGTTAGTGTAATGGCTATGTCGCTGGACTCCCACCGTGGTTCGCGTCCCGGACCCGGTGGTTTAGAACTCATGCCGGGTGCGTGTGCGTGCGTGCCCAGGATCCCGAGAGGAGAATGGAGGAGAAGGGATTGCGGTGTGACCATCCCCTGGGGGTGATTTCTCGCTTTCTGCCTCTATGTCTCTCTCTCTGTCTGGCGAGCGCACGCGCCCTATAGCGAAAACCTCTCCAAAAAAAAAAAAAAAGAATAAACATAAGAGCTAGTACTGTGTCCCACTCTTATTTTCCAGTTTCTATTGAATCTTGAACTATGCCTTGAGATACGATCTTCTAGTAAGTACTGACTGACTGATCCTTAACTTGAATCTTACCTCACTAGTTTAATATTGACATGCGATCAACTGTCATAACTTTTCTTTAAAGGATAGAGTTCAATCTTACCAGGTTCTCAAATACTCTATTAAATATTTTCTCTATTTATGTATTTGCTTTTTTAGGAATCTAGATTTAATTTTGTACTAGAAATGATTCAAGAGAAATTTCACAATTTATTGAAAAGCCTTATAAAGGGGAAAGAACTATTGTGGAAACTCAGGCTAATATGGGAACATTAAGATATTTAGTGTGGATTATAAAAACAACAATAGTCCTCTGGTTAGTTATGATGCCTAACATATAGAACTTTATCTAAGCTGGTAAAAAGTCTGAAATTTGGGGAACCCTACCAGTTTAATACAAGGAAATGATCACATTTTACATTCTGAAGTTGGCCTGCTTTTCAAGGAAGATAATGTGTGAAATAAGACTCAGCGTATTATGCTGTGCACAGCCATCCATCAAGTAAGAAAAGGCAGTACTTAATCAAATAGAACTTCCATTAATGGGAGCACAAGAAGACTTTCCAGTTAACTAAAATTCTGGTGGTTAATTTT